CCTTGGTAAGGGACTGTTCTGTGTTCTTGTCAATGTAGTAGGCTCGTTAAATTTTGTATCTATGCATTAGCACTTCACTGCACTCCCACCTCACTGATTCTCAGTGGTTTTTATTTTGTGTTCTGCTTTTTGGGCCTTCCCAAGTTTACGTTGTGTAAATGATCCATGCCTTAGTTACCCCTGTATGTGCAAAGCAGAGTCCTGCTTTGCTCTTTTGTGACTTCTGAGTGATTTTGCTGGTTGTTCTGAAGTAAAAGGGAAGCATAAATAAATCATGGCTTCTAAGGGTTTTCTTGGTTTTTTATCATGCAAAATTGAACAAAATTATCAACCTGTCATTCTATAAATCCCAGGGGACAGGTGGCCTTTCTGGTGTTTCATGGAAACTGGGATTAAACCTCAGAAGAACTTCACTGAGCACTGAATCAAAGCGAGCTGGCAAGAAGCTGTCTCAAATCAGCATGAAGGGACTGCCAGGAAGAATTATTTCCAAAATGAAATTTTATCTGACTATGTTTTTCATGCTCTACAAAACACCTTTTTTTTTGCATTTTTCTAAGGAAGGGCAGTCCTCATTCATGGCTTGTGTGTCTGCAGCACTGATGGGATTTTCATTATACAAACTTAAGAGAGATTGTGCTAGCTGTACCCATTTCACTGTTGCTGAGCTGTCTGTGTGACAAGTAAAACAAAACAATAATGTCACTTTTTGCTGGAAAGAATCTTTGAAATGCTGAAAGGATTTAGAAACTGTACATTAGTGTTGTCTAAGAAACTTTTCTATGTGTTTCCACAAAAGCAATACTGGTGGTTTAAACAAGCTAAACCAGTTAGATGGGTGGTTTCTGACTTTTTTTTCTTTCTGTTAAATAACTTTCTGCTGAAAAGTGCAGTAGGCTTAGGGTTGTAATACAGCGTGTAATTTGAACATTCCCATGTTTTCCAGCCTTGTCTAATTTGACCTAATTAGTGTGGGCATCTGAACAGTTTTGCATAATGTTTCCACACTATCTTCCATCTTCAACAGAATTAAGGATGAGAAGGGAGAATTTGAGAGAGCTGAGGATTTTCTACACTATTTTGTCTTACCAGCTTTTTCCCCTCATGTTCCTTTTTGATGGTGCAGCTGCAGCCAGACTGAGCAGTGAGACAGCTGCTGGCACAGTCCCTGCCAAAGCTGCTGCTTGTCTGCAGTTTGCCCTGCAGCTGCCTCCTGCCCTTCCCAATTCTCTCCTCCCTAAGGGGTCTTCCTTGTCTCTGCCAGCTGTCCCTTCTCCAAACTTTCAAGTTTTCTTAGCCCAACACAAGATAACAACTCGAATTTCTCTCTCAGCTGGATTAAACTGGAGGAGATCTTGTTGCTGCTTCTGCTGTTCTGATCTTGTGGGCAGCAGTGAGAGCATTTCATTACCCACAGAGACTCACCAGCCACACATACAAAGGCAAATTTCTTATTTCCTTCAATTAAAAGACCTTTTTGATTTTTGAGGGAGGCTCACCAGCCTTCTTTGCACAGATCATGGTGTGATTTTAGTTCATCTTGGGTGTAGGTAGTCAAAATTACATACAGGATATTTGGGGAAACTTCATCTGTATCTTTATTTCTCCTGCAATTCTGCCACCTTTTTTCTAGCTTCAGTACCACTGATCTTAAGGAGTGTTGGATTTACAGGTATCATAATACCTCTTATCTGAACACTGCCTAGTTTTTGTTACAGTGGCAATCGATTTGGTTTGTTTTATATCACTGAAGTATCTTCCTCCCATGTGTCAGAGAAAGAATAAGGATGATCCCTCTTTCTGGGACACTGCCTCCCAAGGTGCTCCACAGGGGAAAGGAGGCCATGTACTCCCATGTCTAGATTGGCTTGTCCACCAGGATTCCTGGGATTTAATTTCAAAATGGGGGGAAAACAGAGTGATGTTATTAATCCTACCACTGCCTATTAATTTCTTTTTGCTTCAGAATGGAGGTATTTTGTCTCTACTGAACATAAGTACTCAATGTGACTTGAGAAATTGCACACTTCAGTTTAAGATTTAGCTAGAATGTTTGAATTAAAATCATGTCACTTTCAAATGTCACTGAATTCAGATGTTATCTGAATTAGAGCAGTTGTAAGATAGCTTTTTGTGCTCTGACCTCCCATCCCTTCATGCTTTTTTAAGTTTGAGGAATAGCTAGGAGGAGATCCTCAGTCCCTTGCCTGAGGGCCAGCACTGATGACCACAGCACAGACTTGGGGGTCTGGAACAGCCACCTTCTTGAGAACAGCAGAAATCATCAGTATTTCTAAATATTTAACTTGAACAGGGAAATTGCTGACTGGCTCTCAGCAAATGATGGTGAGCTGTAAAGATGTGTGGAATTTGCTTGTTTTGTTTGGTTTTTTTAATTCATGAATTTGGTGTGATCTTCAAATTTTCAGAATTTAGTATCTTGAGTCAAGTGCTACTAAAATTAATTTCTTTTTTGTTTGAAGTCTGAGAACAGAAAAGGCTTATGGCTAAAGATGAGCCCAAGCCAGTATTTTCTTGCAAATGAAACATGGCTACAGCTGGTACTTTCCATAGCAGATGATTTGTTTGAACACTCAAATTGTGAGGTGCTGTAATTAAGACCAGTGGAAGATTTGGGGATGGTTGTCTAAAAAGATTTGCATGACCTAGGTGTATGACAGAAACAAGATGCTGAATTGGTGACTTGGGGGAAGAAGAAAAATCTACCTGCCACCAAGTCTCTTCAGAAAAAAGCTGAAGTATGTCAGTCCATTGTTGTCTGAGTATTTCTGAAGGTTATATTACACATGTTAATTTTTAACATGTTGCAGAGGTATCTCTTTACCTGGGGAACAGTAACTGACTTGTTCCCATGTTCCCATACACATATTTGATATCACAATACTGGACAGTCTCTCATAGATGTGATTTTCTTATCTATGGCTGTGTGCCTGAGTAATGCCATTGGTTTCCTCTAGGGTAATTTCTAGTTTCTTCCCCTACAATATCAAGTGGGTACTTAGTATGTATCAAATATATAAGTCCAAGTATACACTCAACTTATTTTCTTACAGGCAAGAGCTCAGAGCATCTCCAAGAGCATTTTTTGCTATGAGCATGAGATATGGATGAAGAATTAAAAATCAGTTATGTCTGGCTTTTGTACTATTGCTTGGTTCATTTGTAGCATAAAAAAATCACCCCAGCAGCACTGAGTTTTGTCTTAAGACTCATGGGGTTTTTGTTGGTGTTTACAGTGGCATATCCAGAATAGGTAAAATGTACACATCAGCCTTTTTACCTTAAGGCACAGAACAGATGAAAAAAGTCTGTGTGCAGCTGCAGTTAAAGCAGGAAGATAAATGTAGCATATGTGTCAGATGGAAAAACCTTGTGACTTGGGAGCTGTGAGCTCTCATTTAGCAGTCAGTGGCAGTTCTGTCTGAAAGCAGCATCTTTACTCACTCTAGCAATGGTTGGATGTGAGTAAGCAGGGAGTGCTGAAGTGAAAGTGTCCTTCAAAGACCAAAATAAGCATGAGTTCCTTCAAGTGTTGGCTGGAGGTGCTGTATCTTACCTACATCATCATGTGAATGAATAACACATGATGCCCTTCAGCATCTCTGTACAGCATTTGAATGTCAGTCTTTTCCCTCTTGTTTGTCCGTGTTAATTTTTGTAACCTCAGGAGATTGTGTCTGAAGTTCTGTGTCAGCTTCAGATCTCAGTGCTATAGTGACCTCTTTGAAGGACATGTTTAACATGAGTACCAGTAATGAAGAATTAATTTGAGAACCAAAATATCATCATGAACTAGAAAAATACCTTAGTAATTTGTCGCATCAGTCATAATGAAGCTAATTTTTCAGCAGAAAAAGGTATTCATTGCTATAAAGTGTGTAAAGATCCCATGATCCATAATATCTTTGAGCTAATTTGTAGTTTTGGAAGAAGACCTTTCTCTTACATACCTTTTAAAGGAAGAATACTTACCTCACTTAAATAAGCACCACAGGCAAATATTCCATGTTTGATCTCACTTGAGCCTCTCTGGCCCAGTGCAGCCACCAGCTCTGTCCCCACACAGGGTGTAGAGCTGGCAGCAACCCTGTGACCTACAGCAGCAACAAGTACGGTTGCCTCAGGTCACTGCCTGCTTTTTCTCCAGCTGTAAATTTAGTAAGAGACATGGACACTTCCAAAATCTCACAAAGGAAAATCAGTTCTGCTTCCAGACATGTGACTTAAATTTTTATTGTAGAAGAATTTTTTATTCCTTTGGCCTGTCCACTTCCTCCAACACCAGAGTCCATGAGCAGAAATCCCTGAATTACAGCAGTCAACTCTTAGCATAGAATCAAGAATGAATGCATCATAAATTAACTAAGAAACCATGAAACCAAAGATGGTCAGTGTAAGAGGAACATGCTTCTCAGTATACTGTGGCGTACCTTCCAGCACTTAAAGGTGGCTTATGAAAGACAGGGAGAGTTACTTTTTACACAGGCAGGTGGTCATAGGACAAATGGGAGCAGTTCCAGTGAAAAGAGGATTGATTTAGATTAGATGTTAGGAAGAAGTTCTTTCCTGTGAGGGTGCTGAGACACTGGAAAATGTTTTCCAAAGAAGCTGCAGATGCCCCATCCCTGGAAGTGTTCAAGGCCAGGGTGGATGGGGTTCTGAACAACCTGGTCTAATGAAAGGTTGGAACTGTATATTCTTTTAAGTTCCTTTCCAACCCAAACAATTGTATGATTCTGTAGTACATGTTTGCCTTTTCTTTTTCATGTCTTTATCAAGAAGTGTGGACAAGTTCATAAATAATGGCTTTTCCTAAAGGTACCTAGGTAGGATTCTTAGCTGTGGGTCTCTTTTTTGGTCCCTTCACCTCTAACCTTCCCCAAGTAAGATCATTAGTAGTATTATAGTGTAATTGAAGTGTTACGTACTAGCATTGTCTAATGTCTCGTTTTCTTTTTTTGTGTGTGTGTTTTAAACAGGAAGATGAACAGAACTGAATTTTAGGACCTACTCCTGATGGGCTGGATTTTATCTTGGCAGGAGTTTTTGAAGATTGATGCAGTGAGAGAAGCAACAGCCAATGGCTTCAGAATCCATGGTCCCTGAGCAGGCAAAACAACATCTGATAAAGGGAAAAAGGCGGCAGCAGCAGCAAACTCAGCCTTCCGTCAGTGATGGGGATGAGGATGTCTTCGTGTTTGAGGCCAGCGAGGCTTGGAAGGATTTTCACAGCTCTCTTCTTCACTTCTTTGAAGCTGGAGAGCTCTGTGATGTTACACTGAAGGTGATTCTTGTCACATATCCATTGCATGTATCAGTCTGAAGATTAAGCTGCAGATAAGTGTGTTGGGAGTTGAATATTGGCAGGGGTGTGGAAACCACTGAATACCTCTTGGATCTGAGACATCTCTAGAGATGCTAGGGTTTTTTTTCCTTATTTAGGAAGTTTACAGCTGAAATTTAAACACCTGAAATATTGACAATCTGAGAGAGGACGTACATGACTTTGATCTTATCCAACTTGCCTTCTCAGCAAGCTCCCACAGTTGGTCACTAATTACTGTGCAATTCCAGCTACTTGTGGCCTCTTGTTTCTCAATATACTTTCATCCCAAATTTTACCTCCGTGTCTGCATTTTGTGTTGTTTTACTAGATTCTTCTCAGCAAACAGGATTTCTGGAACAAATCTAACTTCCAGCACTCTTCAAAGAAAGAAAGAAAAAAAACCCAGATGGTTGTGTTCTACATCTGATCAAAGAGTAAAGAAAGAGAGACATGAACAAATTTTATGATTCTTGCATAGCATTGCTTTAAGGCATTATTTGTAACTCAGCTGTATATTACTTATATCTTGATTACAATAAATTTTTGTTTAGCATGCATAGAAGTGGGTGCCACCATCTTTGAATATTAAGTATTGCTTAGCCAAACAACTTATTAGTTCAAGATAATTATTTAAGGAATAGTGATGAAGCACAGTTCCTAAACCAAGAACAAATGACAGATGCCTTTAGGGGAAGTTATTAGCCTGCTACTTTGACTGTTAGATATGAACAGGCAAAATCCCTGACAGATGTATGTCCCTGGTGTCACCAACCCTCCTCATCCCTTTTCTTGTTGACCTCATTCTTATCTTGCTTTCTTTCCACCTACCCTTGCAAAAAAAAGGCAGAAAGACTTATTTTATAAACATAGTTCAGTGCATATTCCTGCTACGGAAACTTGCCTTGGAAAAAACATTTTACTGGGGCTGCAGTTTAACTTTCCCTAAGTTAGGCTTGTATTAATGTTCATTTGTATGATCTGTGTGGAGCTATTTTGGTAACTTAAGAATATTTGATAATATGACTTGGCTTCCAGTGAAGGCTAGAGCAACCTATGGATATACATCTTATTGTATGGCTTCCTAAATGAGGGATTTTCAAGTAACTGCTAATTATGTACTTGAATTAGAATTTTCAGGGGGCGTGATTTTTCTTCCTGTAGTGCTCAGGTCTCACTCATGTTGTAAGAATAATCAGATCTCTACTGAACTTTCTGCTTTTGTGTGTGACCCGAGTTAGTGAGCAATTCTAGCATTGCTTTTTTCAGACCAATTATTGAATTATTGTTTTAACTGCTGGCTCTTAAAATATGATAGTTAGTAACTGGAGGGGAACTCTGATTTCAAAATAGCAAGGACATGCTGTATAACTGGTGCAAGGTCTCCCTGCCCATGGCAGGGGATGGAATGAGATAACCTTTAAGGTCCTTTCCAAACCAGACCATTCTGTAATTTAAAATTAAGCAGATTTGGGTGTAAAGCCACTTAATTCAAAAGAAAGGTTTGATTAGAGAATGGGATGATGGGCAGAATTATAGTGTCTGAAGGTAAGAATGGCCTGAGAGCTTTCCCTGGTACAGCAGACCACGAGTAGCATCTTTCTGCATCAATACTGTAGTTAGTTGGAGTGCTGATGGTGTAACAGTGATAAGCTGTGGGAGCACACAGGAGGACTCCCTCTGCTCCAAAAGTTAAATTCTGGAATTTCACCTACTCTTCTGCTGCTGTCATATGAACAGTTTTGGAAGGCTGTTAGAAGGTGGAGAGTGGCAGATGAATACCATCTGCTTTTCCCCTGGTGGTTTGCTTTTTGTTCATTTGGTAGTTTTGAATTGTTCCTTCTGGGGTGATCTGAAGCAATCACACTGAAGAATCCATCTTCTCCTCTTTTTTAATCTGCATACTCTTTCTTGTGTGTTTGCTTTCTGTAGTCAGCTCACTGCTCACCAGGTAGGTTACACTTGTGTTGGTCATACTCTTTAAAAAAGTTAGAGCAAGTGAGTATTGAATCAGAGCTAGAAAAATAACAAAATATCCTTTATAATTTAGTATCTTCTTATTTTCTTAAATGCACAACAGCTCTGTAACACCTTCATCTGAAAGTGAACATGTAATTTGAGTCCATCAGGGAAACTGGTTGCCAGCTATCCCTTTATGTTAGTGCAGAGTGACAGAGGCTTTGAGAAAGCACTCCTGGAACACATATAAGAAGTGGATTTGGATTGTTCATTTACTTTCAATACTTCAATTCTTTTTTAATGTAGTGGAATTCTAGAATTTTGTACATGGAAAGCTTATTTTACATTTTCTCATCAGAATTTTGAGAAATACCCTCTCGTTATGGGGAGTACATTGTCTTTTATGGGCAAACATTAAAAAAATATTGAAGTAATTGGTTAACTTCCAATAATCCCTGAAATAGCTGTTATTCCTGTGTTTTACATAGAATTTGCTTCTATAAACAACAGTTCTTCAACAGTAGTTGAAGTCCAGAAGTCCAGAAATCTAAATTAAGTAGTCTAAAAATGTCTCTTTCTAATTTGCCCCCCTTAAAGTCTCTGAGTACATATAAAATAAATGTCTAGAGGTCTCCTCCTGTCTCTAAGATGCATCTAGAATATTTCTAAGGATATTTCACAAGGCTTTTAAAGAAAGGCAAGTTCAGTGCATCACTGCTATTGCTTACCTGTGTTAGAGTTTTGCTCTACTCTCCCAGCCAAGCTACAATTTAGAATTCCTTGGGATACTTGGATGTAATATCAAATACAGGACAGATGGGGTTAATTTGTGTGGACAGAATACATGGAGTCCAGAATTCTCATTTCAGTTTCACTGTTCCTGCTTTCACAGCCAAAACTGACGTGCCAGTAAAACATTGGGGCTTTTTTTGCTCTTTCTCTTTCAGGTTGGTTCCAAGCTAATCTCCTGCCACAAACTGGTGCTAGCTTGCGTTATCCCGTACTTCCGAGCCATGTTTCTGTCGGAAATGGCTGAAGCCAAGCAGAAGCTGATTGAGATCAGGGACTTTGACGGCGATGCCATCGAGGACCTGGTGAAGTTCGCTTACTCCTCGCGGCTCACGCTGACTGTGGATAACGTGCAGCCCCTCCTGTATGCTGCCTGCATCCTGCAGGTGGAACTGGTGGCAAAGGCCTGCTGTGAGTACATGAAGCTGCACTTCCACCCCTCCAACTGCCTGGCAGTCAGGGCGTTTGCCGAGAGCCACAACCGCATCGACCTGATGGACATGGCTGATCAGTTTGCCTGTGAACATTTCACAGAGGTGATGGAGTGCGAGGACTTCGTGAGCGTGTCACCACAGCACCTCCATAAACTCCTGTCCTCCAGTGACCTGAACATTGAAAATGAAAAGCAGGTTTACAATGCTGCTATTAAGTGGCTGCTGGCCAATCCACAGCATCACGCTACGTGGCTGGATGAGATCCTTGCACAGGTAGGGCAGACCGAGGCACCAAGTCCCTGTCTCATCACTGGTTTAGCTGTGTAATCAGCCCTTTGTACTTGGGTAGATCTCAAGCTGAAAAATGTTGTTAGGTTTTGGTGCCTCATCCAGAATTCGGTATTGGGAGTTGACAGTGGAAGCAAGCTAAGAGTTCTTGAGTATTGGGGAGAAGTGATACTCTCCTGTTTCTGTAGAGAGAAGAGTACTCACTTTATGCTCATGGCTGGGAGGTGGGGAACCAACAAAAATCTACATCTGTGGTTGAACAGAAATATTTTATACTGACCCAAACCAGAGAGAATATAAATCCATCACTTCATTTGGCTTGCCACTCCTACAGCCTGATATTCTCACTGTCCTTGCTGTTATGTATTTGTACTTAAGAAATGAGGCAAAGCTGTTGGGTTTTCTTACATGGCTAGGAAAGGAAACTAAGAGAGATGTGTCACATCAAGTTGTGTCACAGTATTTGAGACAGGTGTGGAGAGCCTGCACTGGGAAGAATTTGCATACCATGTGCTGCAAAGCATTCCATGTGTCTTAGCAGGTAGGATTGGCTGGGCAGTTTTAGTTGTCACTGAACTCCAACTTGATTATTTTGCATTTGGCTGAATGCATAATACTGCATTATTGAGTAAGGAGAGGTCCACTGAGATGCTGCTGTCATTGTCTTCATGAGTCATTTTTCACATCTCCTAGGAAAAGATGGTCTATTAGCTGTCTCCCAAAAACCTTCAGTTTCATCTAGACTAGCATGAGGTTTTTGATACAAAAATCCCCTCTTTATTATGCTATACTTAGAGGCAATATAATTAAAGATTTTTAAAAATAAATTTATATTTATTGCCCAGTTATACTAGCAGATGAGATTAACAGTTGTATTCTGTTGATGGAAACCAGAGACTAGATTCAAGCAAAGAAAAAGTAAACCCTTTCTTGTAAATATTGGCTATTTGCCAGAGCATATGGAGACATTAGTTGACTTGGACATTATTGCTAGCAGAGGACATACCTGGGTTTCTAGACAGTGATTATCTATGTCATACTCAGCCTTATGGGTTTCACTGTTATAATGAGGTTCTGAATTTAACAGCCTGGAGTTCTTACCGTGTCACTAACCTTAGGAGCCTGTCAGCAGGGCTACAGTGGTGCTTTAAAGTAGCCTCAAATAAGCTGGGCCAAAATAAAGGAAGAAGTGGGACTGAAAGCAAGGAGGTGAGGAAGAACGGGTAGAGACACATGCTTGCTTCAAGGCAAAGATGTTTGTCAGTGCTGTAACAGCTCCATCCTGCTGCTCTGAGAAGCACTGGAGGTACTGGACTTTTGCACCATTGCTGTTGAGCCAGCTGAGAGCTGCTTGACAGTGTTGACTCCAAACCTTAGGAAGTCAGGTGGAGATTTGCTTCAGGTCCCCCCACTAACATCTGTCCCACCTTTGCCTCTGATTGTATTCTGCACTGTTTGTCTTAAAAAGAAGGATGAAAGGTTTGCTAAAATAAATGGCAGGAAGGATTTAGAGAAGGAAACAATTAGCTCTCAATATTGATCACTTTTTTTTAAGTTTGAAGTCTGCCAAGTTTGCCTTAAAGAGAGATGTTACTGCACTAGCAATACCTCCTTTATAGACCCTTGGTTCATGGTGACTGTTTTCTTTTTTGACTTGCCACCCAAAGAAAATGAGCCATTTTCCAATGAACAAGCCCTCTCATGCTGGCATAGCAGTGAGCTGAAGATTCATACCCAACAGCAGATGAACCTGACAAAGCCCTGGTAAAGCCACTGGTGCTGCCTGCATCACACGGGCAGCTGCAGGGGCAGCATGGGCAGCAGCTCTTCTCTTTCCTCAGCACTGGGCCAAGGGACACTTCTCCCTGTGGCTGAAATGCAATGGTTGTAGCAGACATTATCACCAAACAGAACTGTTCGTATCGCTGTTGTGTGGAACAGCTCTGAGAGCTCTCTCCTCACTGAGAAGCGTGGGGCTGCCGGCTGCTGCATGTGCAGCACTGCATGGTGACACTCAGCAGTTCAGCCACTTTCTCCAACTGTGTTCATTTCTGTGTCAGGTACGGCTGCCTCTCTTGCCCATTTGTTTCCTTATGGGTGTTGTGGCAAAGGAAGAGATTGTCAAGCAGAATCTAAAATGTAGGGATTTGCTGGATGAAGCAAGGAACTACCACCTTCACCTGAGCAGCAGGGCAGTGCCTGACTTTGAGTACTCCATTCGCACAACACCAAGGAAGCAGACTGCTGGTAATTAAATGTGTGTCTGGTTACCCAGTAGGGAGTGGTGTGGAGAAAAAGCAGCACATCTGTGCAGGTGTCTTGATATCAAGCAGGTATAGCTTGATATCGAGGGTTGTTAATGACTTAATGCAAAATTGGGAAAGCCATTATGTACCTCTCTAGTATTTCGGTAATGTGCATTTTCCTAGCAGATCTGTAGCAGTCATTTTCTTTCTTTAAAGCATTAATAATTTATCTGGATTAGCTCTATCTGTATTAAAGCCAGAGCTGTTATGCATGTTATAGCCAGGCAATCTGTTCAAAGCTCTACTGCAAACAGTGGATAGTTATCTTTTGGTGTTGAAGGTTGAGCTAACTTGTAAAGTCTTTGACTAACCTACACCAAAAGTGAGTGATGAATGTTGACTGCAGATCATAATTTCTGTATCATTATATTTAACAAACAATGGGTTTATCTCCTTAAGCCAAACCACAAAAGCATATTTAAAATAGGCATTGTTTTTACAAGAGCATAGATAGCTAATTGCTGTAGCAGTATGTCAAGCAAAGGCCAAAATCCAGTACCCAGTTATGAAGGGCGATGACTGTGCTCCTTGAAGTGAAATACAACTTCCCCCAAACTACATCATTTTCAGTTTGCTCTGCTATACAACTGTTCTCTGTGAACCTGTTTCGTGTTCTCCAGGTGTGCTCTTCTGTGTCGGTGGCAGAGGTGGATCAGGTGACCCCTTCCGCAGCATCGAGTGTTACTCCATCAGTAAGAACAGCTGGTTCTTCGGCCCTGAAATGAACAGCAGGAGGAGGCATGTGGGAGTGATCTCTGTGGGAGGTCAGTAACCCTATCCAAGCAACCCCAGGCAAGAGACTTGTTTACTCCTTTTGCAGAGTTGGTACTTTTACTAGCTGTACAAGAAGTAAACTAATTGCTTAACTGTTGGATAGTCTTCAGTTTAGTAAAGCTTCTCCCCCTTTGAAGGAAAGTTTGGTCCTGAGCCAATCTGAGACTGTGCTTATGGAAAAAACATTACTGCAAACTGACAGAGTTGGGCTGTTCAGACTTGGGAAGAGAGCTTGTGGCCTTTCTGTACTTCACAGGCTTTTTAGTGGGGCCTGTTGTAATAGGACAAGAGGTAATGGTTTTAAACTAAGAGAGGGTAGATTTAAACTAGATATCCAGCAGAAATTTTTTACAGTGAGGTTGATGAAAACTTGGAACAGGTTGCCCAAAGAGGTGGTAAATGTCCCTCCCATCTCTGCAAGTGTTCAAGGTCAGACTGGATGGTGCTGTAAGCAATCTGAAAATGAAAATGTCCCTGCTCATTGCAGAGGGGCTGGACTAGATGACCTTTAAAGGTTCCTCCCAGCCCAAGTGAACTGTATATAGATCTGGCCTTAAATAGGTGTTTTTTTAAAAATCCATTTATAAAGAAATGGCCTTACACAGCAATTACCCAGAATTTGCTATACTCATACTGGTTCCCTTCCTACTTAAATCCATCCTGGAAAGTTACTAAGATCATAACTCTTCCAAGAGCAGACCTAGCTTTATTTTAGGGTCTGTGCAGTCCAGAGCAGCTTAGCAGCAATAATGCAGCTTTCTCTTGTACTTAACAGCCCCTCTGTTGCTGCAGCAGTACAGAGCTAAGTTTTCTTCATATAAAATCTGGAGAGACTGGTACATGTGTCTGAACTGATTTGACCTGCAGTACTTAAATTATGGGAAGGTTTTTTGTTTACATAATCTCAAGCTTTGTATAAAAGTTCACATTAGAATAGATTCCTGGTTGAGTACAGCACATAAAACTCTGAAACTGAAAACATTTTAAAAGTTTAACCTTTATTTGACCTCTTTGTCTCCACTTAAGCAGGGATATTATATAAATGAAAACTGAAGTGTTGCCAAGCAATCTCTATTTTAAAAGATGTCTGTGTCTTCAGGTAAAGTCTACGCAGTAGGTGGACATGATGGAAATGAACACTTAGGAAGCATGGAAGTATTTGATCCTCTCACAAACAAGTGGATGATGAAGGCATCAATGAACACCAAGAGGTATATGTATCCCACACTCCAAGTCCTAGTCTGTGGTGTACCATTTCTTGATGAAAAACATCCTGTCTGTCCTGCTTTTTTTGGGGGGTTTCCAAACTCTTCTATTTCTAGCAATTTCTTTCCCCTATTTTGGAGCTTTAGTGCTATGAATGTATCACCCTTCAGTTCTTTTTTTGGAGGAGCTGGCTTCTGGACCAGCGACATTTTCTACTCCTGCTATGCTTGCATTCTGGTATCCAGGGCCTTTCCTCTGTGCCCAGTAAACAACTTGGAACTGATGAACTGGTTCTGTGGGGCTTTTGCTCTTTTTAGGAATGAGTGAGATAACTGCCAGCATAACATGAGAAGTGAAGTACTTCATAGTGAAAATAAAAAAAGTTAAATACTACACCAGGGAACAAATAGCTGCCTGTGTTTTTCACACAAAAGGCCAGAAGCACGCAATCTGAAAGCCAGATTGAGGACTTTCTTTTGTCTTGACATTTAAGATTCTTATAAGGAGTTACTGGACTCAGATCTGTATTTTTTTTTCTGCTGTTATTTAAATCAGCATCCCTAATTCTGCATTCTCTTGTGTTTGTTGTTTTTCAAAGCATCATGTACAAGTAGGAGTGAAATAATAAGTACGGCTTAAGTCCGAAAGCTATTTATAGCTGTGACCTAGTTAAAGTAGAAGACCCAGACTCCTGGAAGTGGCTTGCTCTACTTCTTCCATCCTATCACCTACCCGAGGGCATAATCTCAGCAACAATCAGCCCTAGATTTCTGTGACATTGATTACTGAGTACCCAGGTCAATGAAAGGACTGCTGTGCCTTGGCTGCCTCCCAGCTCTACTCCTCCCATTCGTGGAAGTCTTGGAATACTTAGTGGAGAAAAATGCCACCATGAAGTGATGTCTGTTACCTGCTGAGGGAATTTAAGATAAGGTCAGGATATTGTCACAGTGTTTGTTCTGTAGAAAGATTGTGCCTCCCTTGCTCCTGGTATTTCTGAACCTTCCCTCTTTAATGAGACAAGAATGTTGTCATTAACATGGTAATTCACCTCACTTGGTGGTTGAAGCAGAAACTTAATGCTCATATTCTAGACCATACTTTCAATTTTATAATAATCATTGTACTCTAATATTGGTAGATTTATTAGAAACAAATGGTTTGCCTTTTAATATGTATTAGTGTCACCCCCAATCATTCTCAGATGGTTCCAGCCAGCTATACCAAAGAAGTTAAAACCAGTAGGTTTTGGTTCATCTTCAGATTCAATAAAATAGAGAAATCATATCTAAGACATTGTCATGTATCCAAGTATGTGAGCAGAGGACTTGGCTTTAGAGTTGACACACAGTGAAAAGGCCACAGGTGTGCAGAGGGCCAGCGACATGATTTACTATAAACATCACTTTTAAAATTTCCATTCCTCTTTTCCCCGTAGTTTGAAACAGGGGCCATTCGTGTACCATGGTACTTGCTGTGCTGGTTAAGGACTTGCACTGAGGTGTTGCTGCTGTGCTTCCCTAGGAGAGGCATCGCCCTGGCGTCCCTGGGCGGCCCCATTTACGCCATTGGGGGCCTGGATGACAACACGTGCTTCAGCGACGTGGAGCGCTACGACATCGACTCCGACCGCTGGAGCGCCGTGGCCTCCATGAACACTCCCCGCGGAGGTGTCGGCTCCGTGGCCCTGGTGGTGAGTCACTGCTGGGCAGCCCCCTGCTCTTCACCAGGCAGAACACCAGGTCTGAAACAAAATGCAGCTGACTTCTAGTCATCAAAATCCCGTGCAAAAAGTGAGGATACTTACGATAGTACTCCTAGCAAATTGAACTGTTTCAACAGTATTTGAAGCGCTGGGAGGAGTTCTGTTCTAATGACATCAACAGTGCTTCCTATCTCACTCAGCTGACTGGTTTGTCATGGTCATTATGTTTAAAGGTACCAGATGCATGCTCTACTTTGATCCCCCCGTGCTCTGAAAAATACCTGCAACACTACAAAACTGTTGCACTTCTTTCATTGGAAGAGATACATTTATGTATGTAAAACAAGTGGATATACAATTTTTTCGTATAATTTTAACACTGCTTATGGAAAGCTGAGTAAAGGCAACTACATCACAAATAATCTTTGTACAACTGTTTTCCAGAACCATGTTTACGCCGTGGGTGGCAATGACGGTGTAGCATCTCTTTCCAGTGTGGAGAAATATGATCCCCACTTGGATAAGTGGATAGAAGTAAAAGAAATGGGTCAGCGAAGGGCTGGGAACGGTGTCAGTGAGCTCCACGGCTGCCTGTATGTTGTGGGTGAGTAGGGATGTGGCATTTTGTAGTGCTGCTGCTGCTGCTGCCAAGTGCTTGGCTTTGGAAGAGGCTGTTGTTGCTAGAGGAACTGGGAACAGATAGAGCTGACCTGTACTTGGTGTTCTTGGGCAGGAGAAGAATGCAAGCACAACCAGGTCATGCTTAAACAAAGGTACATTAGCAAGGAAATGAAAAGCAGCTCCTAACCCACATTTCAGGAGGGCTGATCTGTTCAGGACAATATGTCTTTATTAGAAAATCCTCTCAAGACTCAGTACTCTTGAGTTTCCTTTTAGGAAACAACTCTTAAGTTCAAATGCTTTCAAACATAACTCCAGTTGTGTTCTGAGTGTAGACAGCAGTAGCTTTTTTTGCATTTATTCCACAGCTTCTTGTCTTGTGTGCTAGCTTGTATTTACCTGCTTTTGTATTTACCTACCTCTCTACCTGAGAGAGGAAGATGCCAAGTAGGTGTACCACAGTAATAAAGCTCTGACTTGTTTATTATTTTAAGTGCTTAAATAGCTTTTGAACAAAATGCTCCTCTGACAGTTTCCCCAGCAAGAGGAATGCATCACTAAGTCTTACATGAAATTTTTCCCCTACTCAAATATTTGCCAATGCTGTAATTTGAGAACACTGCTAGGGTGTGTTTTGCATAAAGTAAAATAAGTTTGAGACCATCCTTTTACTGGTGTTAGGTTTCTTTCTCTTCCAATTGGGAAGCTGTTTCATTATAAATATGATGAATTCAGAGAGAAAAATACTAAAATTAGAATCCTTGCAACTTGAGTAGAAGAAGATTACTGCTCTGGGTGATGCTTGAGCAGTGAGAAGAGGGTGAGCTGTTAGATTAATTTTTAGGAGCTTGTAAAGTTCTGGTAGGGAGAATGCTGCACAGGACTCCCCGAATGCTGAGAACGATCTGATGCCAGTCTTGGGTATTCCCTGCACCAGGAATGCCAAAAGCTGACCCTGTGATGGTTGTTTGCAGGTGGGTTTGATGACAACTCGCCCCTGAGCTCGGTGGAGCGCTTTGACCCACGCTGTAACAAATGGGAATATGTGGCAGAGCTCACAACTCCAAGGGGTGGTGTTGGCATAGCGACACTGATGGGAAAAATTTTTGCAGTTGGAGGTCATAATGGCAATGTGTACCTGAATACAGTGGAAGCATTTGATCCCATAGTGAACAGGTAATTTAAAATGTTTTGTTTGTCCTAATAAGACAAGGATATCTGATATACCTGTATGAAAACATAGTGGCATAGAAGCAGTGTGCAGGAGGAACCTAGCTGTTATTTCCTGGTAATAACTGAGTAATATCCATGGCTGTCAGTGCAGGACTGCTGCTTACATCACTAGGGCAGTCTTGTAAATATTTAAGCACCTCCTCCTCCTCTGCTCCTCTCTATTCCTTGTCGTCACCCTTTCATTCAGTAACAATCTATATTCTTCTACTTGTTTCAGTGTGATTTTGCACTAAATGGGGGTGCATTTTTGTGCACAGTGAAGAGCTAGGCAGTGCAATAGAATTTCAGGCACAGAAAATACTTCCAGGTTGCTCAGAAAGGGCAGGAACTTACTTTCTTTTTCTCCTGTAGGTGGGAACTCGTGGGCTCAGTGTCACACTGCAGGGCAGGGGCGGGCGTGGCTGTGTGCTCCTGTCTCAGCAGCCAGATCCGGGATGTGGGCCAAGGATCCAGCAATGTGGTGGATTGCATGTGAGCTCTGCCACCTCCTCCAAATTCCAAAGGAAAGCTACAAGGGAGCCACCATAGAGCTTCTAAACACCGTGTTCTGTATGGTTAAGGAATAAATCCAGCACATTTTCTTTGTGAAAATGGTATTTTCTGCAACTGTAAAGCTTTTGGTGGCTTTCTATCAATAGTGATACAGAAAAGCCTGTGAAAACATGGAATAAAAGTGTGACTCACAGGAACAAACCTGCCAAGAACTGCAATCATCCCATTTTTGTGAAGCTGCAATTTCAAAATCATTTGAAGGAGCTGTTGCAAGGACTCAACATTGAACTGTAAATCAGGCATGTGGTAAGGAGAGCAGCAGCAGCTACTGCTGCTGAGCCTCCCCCAACAGCCCTGCTACATGTTCTCTGGAGGACTCAAGTGCCATTTCATTTAACTTATTTTCTGGAATGAGTCTTAAACGTTTCCCAATTGTACAAGAGTTTTGTAACAGAACGTGTCTCTAGTTCTAGAAGTAATGACATCTCTGATGTACCCTGAGATAATTGAGGCAGAGAAGTTCACTGCTTACCTCCCAAGGGAATGCTGGCAGCAGTGGCAATTGCAGGGATTCTGTCTGAAAACTGTCTTTCTAAGTACTTTCTCAAGCTAATAAACTTGTTAGAAAGCTGGCAAGATTCTTGACCTGAGTTCAGCCACTGGAATACTGCCATTCTCTAGTCTTCCATAAAATTTGTAGTTACTACCCCTTTCCAAAGGAGAGTGTCTCTTGAGATGTCCTGAAGTAACCAGTATAATTTGTCCTATTTTGAGATGATAGTGTGTAAAAATTTAGGCTTCAGTGGTGTTTTGAATCACCATTTTTATACAAAATGGAAATGCATAATAAAATTGGTATTCTGTAAAACTTCTGAAGTGCAATGCTAGAAGACTCGACTGAATTCAGTATCCAGTAGCAGCTCTGGTAACATTCTTGAGTTACTTGCTCTTTTAAGGGAGCAGATAAATAACCTCAAAACCTTAAATGAACCAAAGAAAGTCAGCAAGAAAGATAACTGGGAATAAATGAGTATTTCCATCAAAAATTGAGATAGCAACATAACAGCCCTGCATACAATGATGTCTTGTTACACCATTACAAACCCTGAATCCTGAGTAAAGTCCTGCAGATTCCTGTTGCTGCATCACCTTGAACAGACCAACAACTGACAATCCTTTGTGACCAAAGTTTCACAATTACCAGGTTGTTCTAAATGCCCAGGGAGAGCAGCAAACTTCTCTGCATTCAGAACCTGGCAGAAGCAGGACAGCTGGAGTGAGGAGGCACAGTCGTGTTTTTCTGCTAAGTCACCATCATTTGGCTTTCCTGCCCAAAATAGCTTTGCACTTTGGTGCACTTTTTGCACCCAGGGACAAAGGGAACGGTACTGTAAATAATGAAATAATGCAATAAAACGTTTGTACTTCAAAGCACCTCATTTGTTTTGTCTGGAGCATACTGGTGCTGGGAAACAATACAGCACTGAGTATTTTTTGTTTTCTGCAGTGTATTTGTACTTCAAAGCACCTCATTTGTTTTATGTCTGGAGCATACTGGTGCTGGGAAACAATACAGCATTGAGTATTTTTTGTTTTCTGCAGTGAATATTTCTCAACAGGAAGCTTCTGTTAGCAGAGAGAATCCTGCATTACCACCATGAGCTGCACTGCCCTGCTGCCCTCCTCACAAGGATGTGGTTACCCTTGTGGCTCTTGGCCTGACTCTGACGTGTGGAAAGGAGGGATAAAGGTTTCCTCTCTGGGACCAAATGGATGTCCTGGCTAACATAAACCCTGAGTTTACCAAAAGGCCCTGACTGTGTGTAGTGGTTTTGCATGGGAGGCACTCACGGAAGTGATGTAAAGAGAAAGCTGATACTCCTCTGTGAACATTCATGTAAAAAAACCCCAAAAAATCACGGAAATCTCCTTCTTTTCTGGTGGGCAAAGAGGTAACAGGGGCCAAAAACCACTACGTAGCCAAAACCACTATGCTGTGAAACCAGGCAGCCCAGCAGTGCAGGGGGGAAAGTGTGGCACCCATGGGTGCAGCCTGTGGGTGACACATGCATGTGGACCACAATGACCACATCACCAAAGGGATGCCAGACACCAAAGGGAGAAGCAGCAGGGAAATCAGGTTACAGCAAAAGCTCTGGGATTCTCTGTCGTGTGGGAAGAGCTGGAAGTCACATGGTGCTAGCTCTGAACAGGATCCTAAAACAGGCATCTCATTTGTATTTCAATGCACACCCCCGCCCCAACACTCTTGTTCAGGGCTCTGGAGGTGTATCCCTAAGGACTGGCAAGAAAACTGCAAAGCAGGTTTGCAAGGAACAGCCCTGTTCCCAGAACAGTGGTGTCCCACGCTGGTAATTTTGGATGGCACCACAGCTAAACACATTTTGTACAGAACTGGTTTTAGAATCGCTATTGCTGGAAATGTGTTAATGACGACAAAGTATAACAAGAAATAAAAATACAGGATTACTGTGGTGACAAACTGCAGTGACCTACCTGCACATAAAGCTGTTGTGATTTGACACCTGTCCTGGCTAGGGGACCATGATGACAAAAGAACATTCCCTCCACTCCATGCCGAGGGACAGAGCAGCCACGCAGTGGTAGGAAGCCCTACTCCCCACACCTTCTTTATTTGTGTTCAAAGGGAATTGTGGTCCATTTGGTTATACTTTCCCAGCTTCAAATACTATTTAATACTCCTCCTTCCCAAGAGAATCTCATTCCTAATAGAGCCATTCTGGCAGCAAAACACTTTGGATTTGACATCCTGCTAAAATACTCAGCTAAGGACAGAAAGTTTTATAAGGCAAAGCATATGATACTTGTATTTTTAAAAATATAAACCAAATACATGCATCCACTTCTATCAGAAAGACTGCAGACTTCCCTCCTGTCTGAACACCGGCTGTGAAAATGATTTCAACTAGAAATGCCTGCCTGCAGGGGGGGATGCAGCCCTGCCGAAAACCGGACCCGCCCTGGCAGAGAGCTCTGCTTGCACCGTGTGTTCATCAGCACAACCAAAGGGCATCGAGCAGGGACCTCGGGATGCTGCACGAGAGAAGCAGCAGGAGGCAACAATGATCCCAGCCAGGAGGGTTACCCTGCCTGTCTCCAGGACCTTTCAGTTTCAGTGGGATTTGGGGCAGTTACTGCAGTGTCAGTGTTGGTAAGCCTCATAGGGTTAACACACTATGGCCAGCGAGCAGACTGAACATGTCAGAAACAATTTATTCATCAAAACCAAGGAAACCTTGCCTGTGATCCTACACAGATCACAGACAAGAGTCTTACAAAGAAGTGGGAAGGTAATTAAATAGCAGCAGGGCTAGCAGCAGATTTTAAAACCAGCACTTGGATGAGCAGCCTGTTTCTCAGTGCATTCAGGGGCGAGCAATAGTGATGCAAACAGTCCAGCAGTTCTAAGGCTATTGAGGATTCTATGAGATCATTTTGCTGCCATGAACTTTTTGTGTGCAGTTACTTAAAAATCAGAGTGCCTTCCTATGTCATGTGTGGAGACCCTGGGGGGCATCCCCCGGGTTAGGCAGACAAAAGAAGCTTCCCTCAAGAAGCTCTTAAGAGCCCAATGGCTTCTTGCCCAGGTCCTATGTCCCTGAGTCACACCCTCCTTATTTCCCCATTGGTATCAGATTCAAAAGCGACCCCCGTGGCAGGGAGAAGTTATGCATCTGACTCCATGATATCAGAAGCCTAATTAATTACTTTATTATACTATATTATTCTATACTATACTACACTATATTACATTACATCTCAACTGAATCTGCACAAGCACCCAACTGCACCCCACTGAACAGCATCTCGTGACTCTCAGCCAACAGCCCCGACACACACACGCGCTTGGCCCTGCCAGGCCAAGGAAACAAAACACCATCCCTCTGGGCAAACAATCTCCATATTGCATTTTATTTTGGCACAATACAGGCACAACAAATTAGATAAGAATTGTTTTGGTCATTCTTTTCTCTGCTTCTCTCACTGCTTCTCTCATTCAGAGAATGTGAATCCCACACATCTTGGCCCATGTCTGTACTGCTCTGATGCCACTGTCCAGCCTGGATCTCTGGGAAGAGAGAAACCTGGACTCCCAATGAGGGTGCACGGTACCCTGAACATCTTACTGGGTGGCTGAATGAAACATCTTTTCATTTCACTTCACATTCCTTTTGGTGTACTACAAGCTTGTTACTTCATCCCTATTAAATGTACAGTTTGGTTTTAAAGCACATACGTTCCCGTGTCTCATTTTTCCATGCCTTATGCTGGTGTTCAAGGGAGAATTTAGGGGTATTTCCTTCTGGCCTTGCAGCACTTCAATAAAATGTCTCCGTGGTGTGCAAAGGACACCACTCAGCTGTGTGTGTTTGAGGCATGATGAAACTACTTGAGCAAAAAAAACTTCGTGTTTAATTCTTCTTTGAACTTGACTCTAGGTATCTTGTGTAATTAATTGATGCAAAGCCAATCAAAGTCAACTGAAAGGTGACAGCAGGACTTGAAGGGGTTTGGGTTTTTCTTTTCCTTCAAAATAAAGACAAAACCAGCCTAGACCCCAGCAAATTCACGCTTCCTGACCTGTTTTCTTGCTAAATAATCATTGAATTTTTTGTGGTTGTTGGGGGATGAGGACCTATTTTTACTTTAATAAGTCTTAATTTTTTAATTCAACTTAGAAATTAATTTAGATTTTCTACTCTCTCTCATCTTCTTTTAAACTTTTCCAACATATTCAAATGTTTCCCTTTCAAACAGATTTCTACTTTCTTTTTCTGACATGGTGGGTTTTGTTGTTTCTTCTTTCCATGCTTCTCCAACTTTTCACTTCTTTTATCTCCTTCACTGTTTATTCCCCTCAACTGCTTTCTGTCTTTTTGAGCCCTTTGAATAAATTTTAGCTATCCAGCAAATCAAAGCCAACTGCAAACAAGCTTGCATTCACAGGACAGCTGTTGTAAAGAAATATAATTTCACTTAAAGGAATTGATAGGAACAGTGCCAACCAACCAAACTAAACAAAAGTTTGGGATGCTGGTGGGATGGACTTTTCATCAGAGAAAAAAAAAAGTGTTCTGTCATTTGGATTATTGATATACTATTCTTTAATAGTTTAGTACTGGTAAATAGATATTCATACTGTCTCTAAATGTTACAGACAGAAAATCCAAGCTTTGTAGTATCAGGATCCAAGCTTTTACCTCCTTTCAGTAATCTAATCCTTTTCCTCCAGGTATTACAACACTTGGCATGACATCAACACTTGCTTAGGGGGTAATAAAACCAGGAAAGTGGTAAACCAGGGCAGTACCTTTAGGAAAACACTAAAAAGAGATGGCTGTCTCTTATGAAACTCAAGGTTTTTATGAAATATTTTTTGACAAGAGAAAAACATGGAGAGAGGCTATTTGGAAGAGCATGACAGAACGACTTCAAACTGAAAAAGGTTTAGATTAGGTATGAGGAAGAAATTCTTTACCTGTGAGGATGATGAGGCACTGTAAGAGGTTGATCAGAGAAGCTCTGGATGCCCTATTGTATTTGCTGGGACCTCTGTGGCAGGGAGGAATGATGAATCTGACTCCATGTAGGCTAATTTATTACATTATAATACCATATTAGATTAAAGAATACTATACTATACTAAAGAATACAGAAAGGATGTCTACTGAAGGCTGAAAAGATAATAATGAAAACTTGTGGCTCTTTCCAGAGTCTCAACACAGCTTGGCCCCAATTGGCCAATGAGTGAAAACAACTCACAGCAGAATCCAGTGAAACAATCACCTGTGGGTAAACAATCTCCAAACACATCCCACATGTGTGAGCACAACACAGGAGAAGCAAATGAGATAAGAATTTTTTTCCTTTTTCTCTGAGGCTTCTCAGCTTCCCAGGAGAAAAATCCTGTACAAAGGGATTTTTTCAGAGAATGTGAACGCCACAGATGCCCCATCCCTGGCAGTGTTCACGCCCATGCTGGATGGGGCTCTGAGCAGCCTGGTCTAGTGGGAGGTGTCCATGCCCATGCAGGGGGCTTGCAAGGAGATTTTCTTTAAGGTCCCTCCCAACCCAAACCATTCTGTGATTCTATGGCCATAATTGCAGAACTGGCAACCTTCTAATTTCATATTGGCCTGTTTTTGGGATACAGTTTGTTGTCAGTGTTGTTTCTCTGAAAAATGCAAATGTAAAAACATCATGTGAATGCTTCTTTTTCCTAGCAATTGCCCCTTCATGTTCTTCCTACAAATTACAGAATAGAAAGCTGGGAGATTTTACAGCTTTATGGAATAAAGTTTTCCTGGTTTGTATCTTTAGACTAAAAGTACTAAATTCTCACCACAAAGAATGGATTCCTCAGAATGCACTTAGAGCATCTCTTAAAAACTCCAGA